GACAGGAGGCACTGAACTACAGGCCAGTGTCCCTAACCTGCATACCATGCAAGCTGATGGAGAAGATTGTGCGAAAAAAACTAGTGGAGCATCTGGAGCGAAGGAACTTTGTAACACAGCATCAACATGGGTTCAGGGATGGCAGGTCCTGCCTCACAGGGTTACTTGAATTCTACGACCAGGCAACAAAAATAAGGCAAGAAAGAGAAGGGTGGGCAGACTGCATATTTTTGGATTGTCAGAAAGCCTTTGATACAGTGCCACACAAGAGGCTAGTGCGAAAGTTGGAGATGCAGGCTGGAGTGAGAGGGAAGGTACTCCGGTGGATAGAGGAATACCTAAGCAACAGGAGACAACGAGTCTGTGTGAGGGGTGAGGTCTCAGATTGGCGAGACGTCACAAGTGGAGTCCCGCAGGGGTCAGTCCTTGGACCTATACTGTTTCTGGTATATGTAAATGATCTCCCAGAGGGTATAGATTCGTTCCTCTCAATGTTTGCCGACGATGCAAAAATTATGAGGAGGATTGAAACAGAGGATGATAGTAGGAGGCTACAAGATGACCTGGATAGACTGTGTGAATGGTCCAACAAATGGCTGTTGAAGTTCAACCCGAGTAAATGCAAAGTAATGAAACTAGGCAGTGGAAACAGGAGGCCAGGCACAGGATACAGAATAGGAGATGAAGTACTTAATGAAACAGACAGAGAGAAAGATCTAGGAGTTGATATCACACCAAACCTGTCTCCTGAAGCCCACATAAAGAGAATAACGTCTGCGGCATATGCGAGGCTGGCTAACATCAGAACGGCGTTCAGAAACCTGTGTAAGGAATCATTCAGAATCTTGTACACCACATATGTAAGACCAATCCTGGAGTATGCGGCCCCAGCATGGAGCCCGTACCTTGTCAAGCACAAGACGAAGCTGGAAAAAGTCCAAAGGTATGCTACTAGACTAGTCCCAGAACTAAGAGGCATGAGTTATGAGGAAAGGCTGCGGGAAATGCACCTCACGACACTGGAAGACAGAAGAGTAAGGGGGGACATGATCACAACCTACAAAATCCTCAGGGGAATCGACCGGGTAAACAAGGATGAACTTTTCAACACTGGTGGGACGCGAACAAGGGGACACAGGTGGAAGCTGAGTACCCAAATGAGCCACAGAGACGTTAGAAAGAACTTTTTCAGTGTCAGAGTAGTTAGCAAATGGAATGCATTAGGAAGTGATGTGGTGGAGGCTGACTCCATTCACAGTTTCAAATGTAGATATGATAGAGCCCAATAGGCTCAGGAATCTGTACACCAGTTGATTGACGGTTGAGAGGCGGGACCAAAGAGCCAGAGCTCAACCCCCGCAAGCACAATTAGGTGAGTACAATTAGGTGAGTACACACACACACACACACACACACACACACACACACTAATTGCTACACCGCTATCCCAACACAACTTCACTCAATAACATGACTGGTTCCAGTTCCGGGAACTATGAGAGAAATGATGTTCATAGTATACTGACAGCTGGACATTTATATATTCCGTACACGAGTTCGCTTGACTTCAGCTACTGCCCGTGATAACTACTGATGCAGCCCGTTCTCGGGAGGGTTCCCCAACGTCTGGAAACGGTCGTACTAACGTGCCCTTATCCTAACCTACCAGAGGACCCAAAACAGAAAACGGGACATTATGTACTCGCGCAAATGTGTGACAATTGTTCACCTTACGTAATGTATACGTCAAAATGCAACGTGCTATAAAGAGGACGGGTTGACTGGTGATGTATGTCTACGGGATCACCATAGCCCGTGCTACCTGGAACTTTTGGTGCCCAGTAGCTGAATCTATAACAACAACAACTGGTGATGTATACAAGCTTCTACACTCTTCAGAGCAGACTCGGCACACAGTCACAGCCCTGCTCCTGTGCCAGGTAAGTCCACTACGGGGTCACCATAGCCCGTGCTACTTGCAACTTTTGGTTCCCAGTAGCTGCAAGATAACCGCGGGGCTGGTCCACCTGCAGAAGACCAGCGTCATTAACAGCACCATTTAAGGTTATCTCGAGATGATTTCGGGGCTTTAGTGTCCCCGCGGCCCGGTCCTCGACCAGACCTCAACCCCCAGGAAGCGGCCCTTGACAGCTGACTAACACCCAGGTACCTATTTTACTGCTAGGTAACAGGGGGCATAGGGTGAAAGAAACTCTGCCCATTGTTTCTCACCGGCGCCCGGGATCGAACCCGGGACCACAGGATCACTAGTCCAGTGTGCTGTCCGCTCGGCCGACCGGCTCCCCCAACCAGGTAAGACAAGCTACCGCCAAACTTGACAAGAGGGTCACTCATCGGGCTGTGGGGGATATTTGGGCCTGCGGGCCGCTCCAAGCAACAGCCTGGTGGACCAAACTCTCACAAGTCAAGCCTGGCCTCGGGCCGGGCTTGGGGAGTAGAAGAACTCCCAGAACCCCATCAACCAGGTACCCGCTGCTCACCCCACACGTGGAACCCAGTGCACAACACCCCACGATAAGATCTACTATACCTGATAAGAAAATGGTAAAATATCTTCTAGATAGCGCTTTAAAAAGTTGCCACAATCGTGCTTTACTTCTGCGTTATTTAAGATCTAACTTTATACATTGTCCAAATGTCCCGTATTCACACTTTATTATAACCCAGAACATGTAACAAAAACAGTTCCGGTAGAGCCAATCACTGAGACGTTCAGTGAGAGCCGATCACTGAGACGTTCAGTGAGAGCCAATCACTGAGACGTTCAGTGAGAGCCAATCACTGAGACGTTCATTGAGAGCCAATTACTGAGACGTTCGGTGAGAGCCAATCACTGAGACGTTCAGTGATAGCCAATCACTGAGGCGTTCAGTGAGAGCCAATTACTGAGACGTTCAGTGAGAGCCAATCACTGAGACGTTCAGTGAGAGCCAATCACTGAGACGTTCAGTGAGAGCCAATCACTGAGACGTTCAGTGAGAGCCAATCACTGAGACGTTCAGTGAGAGCCAATCACTGTGACGTTCAGTGAGAGCCAATCACTGAGACGTTCAGTGAGAGCCAATCACTGTGACGTTCAGTGAGAGCCAATCACTGTGACGTTCAGTGAGAGCCAATCACTGAGACGTTCAGTGAGAGCCAATCACTGTGACGTTCAGTGAGAGCCAATCACTGAGACGTTCAGTGAGAGCCAATCACTGAGACGTTCAGTGAGAGCCAATCACTGAGACGTTCAGTGAGAGCCAATCACTGAGGCGTTCAGTGAGAGCCAATCACTGAGACGTTCAGTGAGAGCCAATCACTGTGACGTTCAGTGAGAGCCAATCACTGTGACGTTCAGTGAGAGCCAATCACTGTGACGTTCAGTGAGAGCCAGTCACTGTGACGTTCAGTGAGAGCCAATCACTGTGACGTTCAGTGAGAGCCAATCACTGAGGCGTTCAGTGAGAGCCAATCACTGAGACGTTCAGTGAGAGCCAATCACTGTGACGTTCAGTGAGAGCCAGTCACTGTGACGTTCAGTGAGAGCCAATCACTGTGACGTTCAGTGAGAGCCAATCACTGAGACGTTCAGTGAGAGCCAATCACTGAGACGTTCAGTGAGAGCCAATCACTGAGACGTTCAGTGAGAGCCAATCACTGAGACGTTCAGTGAGAGCCAATCACTGTGACGTTCAGTGAGAGCCAATCACTGTGACGTTCAGTGAGAGCCAATCACTGAGACGTTCAGTGAGAGCCAATCACTGAGACGTTCAGTGAGAGCCAATCACTGTGACGTTCAGTGAGAGCCAATCACTGTGACGTTCAGTGAGAGCCAATCACTGAGACGTTCAGTGAGAGCCAATCACTGTGACGTTCAGTGAGAGCCAATCACTGTGACGTTCAGTGAGAGCCAATCACTGAGACGTTCAGTGAGAGCCAATCATTGAGACGTTCAGTGAGAGCCAATCACTGAAGCGTTCAGTGAGAGCCAATCACTGTGACGTTCAGTGAGAGCCAATCACTGAGACGTTCAGTGAGAGCCAATCACTGAGGCGTTCAGTGATTGGGTGTACGTTCCGTAGGGAGCTTGGATTAGGATCAGGGTGAAGAGTGGCCGCCTGCACACTCTAGCAATGCCCTCAAGGGTTGTGCAGTGTTGCAAAGAGGCAAGCAACAGGTGAGAGAGACATGCGTGGAGGATAAAAGTATTATATATGTAGTGTCCCCCCCTCCCCCCCCCCTGATTATAGCCAGAGAGGTAAGTTATACACTGCATCATTATAGCGAGGTTATCACCGCTACATCATGTACACCATCACGCCGTATTGTGTGTACACTATAGTGCATGTGGGACTATATAGTGACACCACACTACTGTTCTGTTCTTCAGCTGAACTGAACCTAAGCCTTCTGGGGCCAGATTCACGAAGCAGTTACGCAAGCACTTACGAACCTGTACATCTTTCCTCAATCTTTGGCGGCTTTGTTTACAATTATTAAACAGTTAATGAGCTCCGAAGCACCAGGAGGCTGTTTATACCAATAACAACAGTTGATTGGCAAGTTTTCATGCTTGTAAACTGTTTAATAAATGTAACCAAAGCCGTCAAAGATTGAGGAAAGATGTACAGGTTCGTAAGTGCTTGCGTTAACTGCTTCGTGAATCCGGCCGCTGGACATTACTCTCACTATCAACAATACTCCACATTGACCTACACCCCCATGAACTTCTTTCCATTCAGGAGTCTATCATAGTCTATCTCCTATCCTCTGGCTACCAGAAGGGCTTCACACCCCACTCAAATGTCTTCTGGGTTGTCGAAGCTCCACAACTTTCCACAACAGGTGAGGCTAATGGTCTACGCCGGGGATTATTTGCATTTATATTACGGACTAATATCACCCCCGTTATCACCTTCCACTGCATTATTTACCTATTGTGAGAGGGGGGGGGGGGTCTCCGTGGCGCGAGGTGACGTGTTCTGGTGTTGTCGCAGGCGGCGCGGGTGGTGCAGTCCTCCCACTACGAGCTGGAGTACGTCCTCGGCCGCAAGATCATCTTCATCTGCACGGCGCGCGGCAACCCTCGCCCCAGCATCACCTGGTACAAGGACGGCGTGGAGCTCTACGCCCACAACTACTTCCAGGTACCCGCCTGTCCCTCTGTGTGCCAGGTACCCGCCTGTCCCTCTGTGTGCCAGGTACCCGCCTGTCCCTCTGTGTGCCAGGTACCCGCCTGTCCCTCTGTGTGCCAGGTACCCGCCTGTCCCTCTGTGTGCCAGGTACCCGCCTGCCTCTCCGTATGCCAGGTACCACCTCCCACACCCCTCAGTATGCCAGGTACCTCCCACACCCTCAGTATGCCAGGTACCTCCCACACCCTCAGTATGCCAGGTACCTCCCACACCCTCAGTATGCCAGGTACCACCCACACCCTCAGTATGCCAGGTACCACCCACACCCTCAGTATGCCAGGTACCACCCACACCCTCAGTATGCCAGGTACCTCCCACACCCTCAGTATGCCAGGTACCACCCACACACCCTCAGTATGCCAGGTACCACCCACACCCTCAGTATGCCAGGTACCTCCCACACCCTCAGTATGCCAGGTACCTCCCACACCCTCAGTATGCCAGGTACCTCCCACACACCCTCAGTATGCCAGGTACCTCCCACACCCTCAGAATGCCAGGTACCTCCCACACCCTCAGTATGCCAGGTACCACCCACACCCTCAGTATGCCAGGTACCTCCCACACCCTCAGTATGCCAGGTACCTCCCACACCCTCAGTATGCCAGGTACCTCCCACACCCTCAGTATGCCAGGTACCACCCACACCCTCAGTATGCCAGGTACCTCCCACACCCTCAGTATGCCAGGTACCTCCCACACCCTCAGTATGCCAGGTACCACCCACACCCTCAGTATGCCAGGTACCACCCACACCCTCAGTATGCCAGGTACCACCCACACCCTCAGTATGCCAGGTACCTCCCACACCCTCAGTATGCCAGGTACCTCCCACACCCTCAGTATGCCAGGTACCTCCCACACACCCTCAGTATGCCAGGTACCTCCCACACACCCTCAGTATGCCAGGTACCTCCCACACCCTCAGTATGCCAGGTACCTCCCACACCCTCAGTATGCCAGGTACCTCCCACACACTCAGTATGCCAGGTACCTCCCACACACCTCAGTATGCCAGGTACCTCCCACACCCTCAGTATGCCAGGTACCTCCCACACACCCTCAGTATGACAGTTACCTCCCACACCCTCAGTATGCCAGGTACCTCCCACACCCTCAGTATGCCAGGTACCTCCCACACCCTCAGTATGCCAGGTACCTCCCACACCCTCAGTATGCCAGGTACCTCCCACACACCTCAGTATGCCAGGTACCTCCCACACCCTCAGTATGCCAGGTACCTCCCACACACCTCAGTATGCCAGGTACCTCCCACACCCTCAGTATGCCAGGTACCTCCCACACCCTCAGTATGCCAGGTACCTCCCACACACCTCAGTATGCCAGGTACCTCCCACACCCTCAGTATGCCAGGTACCTCCCACACCCTCAGTATGCCAGGTACCTCCCACACACCTCAGTATGCCAGGTACCTCCCACACCCTCAGTATGCCAGGTACCTCCCACACACCCTCAGTATGCCAGGTACCACCCACACCCTCAGTATGCCAGGTACCACCCACACCCTCAGTTTGCCAGGTACCTCCCACACACCTCAGTATGCCAGGTACCTCCCACACCCTCAGTATGCCAGGTACCACCCACACCCTCAGTATTCCAGGTACCTCCCACACACCCTCAGTATGCCAGGTACCTCCCACACCCCTCAGTATGCCACGTACCTCCCACACCCCTCAGTATGCCAGGTACCTCCCACACCCTCAGTATGCCAGGTACCTCCCACACCCTCAGTATGCCAGGTACCTCCCACACCCTCAGTATGCCAGGTACCTCCCACACCCTCAGTACGCCAGGTACCTCCCACACACCTCAGTATGCCAGGTACCTCCCACACCCTCAGTATGCCAGGTACCTCCCACACCCTCAGTATGCCAGGTACCACCCACACCCTCAGTATGCCAGGTACCACCCACACCCTCAGTATGCCAGGTACCACCCACACCCTCAGTATGCCAGGTACCTCCCACACCCTCAGTATGTCAGGTACCTCCCACACCCCTCAGTATGCCAGGTACCTCCCACACCCTCAGTATGCCAGGTCCCTCCCACACCCTCAGTATGCCAGGTACCTCCCACACCCTCAGTATGCCAGGTACCTCCCACACCCTCAGTATGCCAGGTACCTCCCACACCCTCAGTATGCCAGGTACCTCCCACACCCTCAGTATGCCAGGTACCTCCCACACCCTCAGTATGCCAGGTACCTCCCACACCCTCAGTATGCCAGGTACCTCCCACACCCTCAGTATGCCAGGTACCTCCCACACCCTCAGTATGCCAGGTACCTCCCACACCCTCAGTATGCCAGGTACCTCCCACACCCTCAGTATGCCAGGTACCTCCCACACACCTCAGTATGCCAGGTACCTCCCACACCCTCAGTATGCCAGGTACCTCCCACACACCCTCAGTATGCCAGGTACCTCCCACACACCCTCAGTATGCCAGGTACCTCCCACACACCCTCAGTATGCCAGGTACCTCCCACACACCTCAGTATGCCAGGTACCTCCCACACACCCTCAGTATGCCAGGTACCTCCCACACCCTCAGTATGCCAGGTACCTCCCACACCCTCAGTATGCCAGGTACCACCCACACCCTCAGTATGCCAGGTACCTCCCACACACCCTCAGTATGCCAGGTACCTCCCACACACCCTCAGTATGCCAGGTACCTCCCACACACCCTCAGTATGCCAGGTACCTCCCACACCCTCAGTATGCCAGGTACCTCCCACACACCCTCAGTATGCCAGGTACCTCCCACACACCCACAGTATGCCAGGTACCTCCCACACACCCCTCAGTATGCGTGGTACCTCCCACACACCCTCAGTATGCCAGGTACCTCCCACACACCCTCAGTATGCCAGGTACCACCCACACCCTCAGTATGCCAGGTACCACCCACACCCTCAGTATGCCAGGTACCTCCCACACACCCTCAGTATGCCAGGTACCTCCCACACCCTCAGTATGCCAGGTACCTCCCACACCCTCAGTATGTCAGGTACCTCCCACACCCTCAGTATGCCAGGTACCTCCCACACACCCTCAGTATGCCAGGTACCTCCCACACCCTCAGTATGCCAGGTACCACCCACACCCTCAGTATGCCAGGTACCTCCCACACACCCTCAGTATGCCAGGTACCTCCCACACCCTCAGTATGCCAGGTACCTCCCACACCCTCAGTATGTCAAGTACCTCCCACACCCCTCAGTATGCCAGGTACCTCCCACACACCCTCAGTATGCCAGGTACCTCCCACACCCTCAGTATGCCAGGTACCTCCCACACACCCTCAGTATGCCAGGTACCTCCCACACCCTCAGTTTGCCAGGTACCTCCCACACACCCTCAGTATGCCAGGTACCACCCACACCCTCAGTATGCCAGGTACCTCCCACACACCCTCAGTATGCCAGGTACCTCCCACACCCTCAGTATGCCAGGTACCTCCCACACACCCTCAGTATGCCAGGTACCTCCCACACACCCTCAGTATGCCAGGTACCTCCCACACACCCCTCAGTATGCCAGGTACGTCCCACACCCTCAGTATGCCAGGTACCACCCACACCCTCAGTATGCCAGGTACCTCCCACACACCCTCAGAATGCCAGGTACCTCCCACACCCTCAGTATGCCAGGTACCACCCACACCGTCAGTATGCCAGGTACCTCCCACACACCCTCAGTATGCCAGGTACCTCCCACACCCTCAGTATGCCAGGTACCTCCCACACCCTCAGTATGCCAGGTACCTCCCACACACCCTCAGTATGCCAGGTACCACCCACACCCTCAGTATGCCAGGTACCACCCAGGTACGCCCCTAACATCCGGTAAGCCAGACATACGACACAACCCATCACCGACAAGTTAACTACCACTATGCAACCAATAGCCAGTCTAATTTTCAAGTCAAAAAAACAGCTACAGTCAATTCTCTCTCTCTCCTAAGCCGAAGCTTCCAGAGATGGCGCTGCGGTTCCCCACTGACCCCTAAGTCAATATATAACTCCCACACACTATGTATTACTGCTAATTTTCTTTCTATCACTATTTATTCCTTTATGAAGATCATTTATGTATATTAGGCTCATGCATTCGTGATACAACACGCATTAGTCTATCTCCTATCCTTTAGCCAGGCTCCACGAGCCTCTCAAAAGTGCCCTCTGGACCGTCGATGCTCCACAGTTTCCCGCGACACACGAAGCTAATAGTCTACGCGAGAGATTATTTGCATTTATATTACCAGGCAAAATCCCCCCCGGGTTGTCACTTGCAGCAACATTATAGCTATTTTGAGACTCCCGCCAAGAGGTACGCGGGAGCTCCACTTGTGGGTCACTGTGGCCCCCCTGGGGTGGGCCAGGCAGGAGCAGGTGGTGGGCCAGGGCAGCAGGGGGTGGGGCAGGGGCAGCAGGTGGTGGACCAGGGGCAGCAGGTGGTGGGCCAGGGGCAGCAGGTGGTGGGTCAGGGCAGCAGGTGGTGGGCCAGGGCAGCAGGGGGTGGGCCAGGGCAGCAGGGGGTGGGCCAGGGGCAGCAGGTGGTGGGCCAGGGGTTGCAGGTGGTGGGCCAGGGGTAAGCAGGTGGTGGGCCAGGGCAGCAGGTGGTGGGCCAGGGGTAAGCAGGTGGTGGGCCAGGGCAGCAGGTGGTGGGAAAGGCCAGCAGGTGGTGGGCCAGGCAGGAGCAGGTGGTGGGTCAGGGCAGCAGGTGGTGGGCCAGGGCAGCAGGGGGTGGGCCAGGGCAGCAGGGGGTGGGCCAGGGGTAAGCAGGTGGTGGGCCAGGGGTAAGCAGGTGGTGGGCCAGGGCAGCAGGTGGTGGGCCAGGGCAGCAGGGGATGGGCCAGGGCAGCAGGTGGTGGGCCAGGGCAGCAGGTGGTGGGCCAGGGCAGCAGGTGGTGGGCCAGGGCAGCAG